CTGGCCAGGTTAGATAATGTGAGCCAGAGTGTAGTTCACTTGTAACGTGAAGTGCACCCGAGCATAAAACTGAAGACAAAACCTTCCTTTAAAGGACTGTTTCATATGGATTTATTAACCATTCTTAATTTCAATAAATGCAAACTGTCATAGTTTATCAAAGATGCAAACCCCTCGTTGCACATCAGCTGCCAACTTCAGCAAACCCCCTAATATGTGGAGCACGATGACTTACATGAACATTTGAGCATCAAAATGGGTGAATCTGATCAGCAAAAGGTTTGACTTTGTGTCACTGCATCCCAAACGACTTAAAACAATATGAATCAATATAACTAAAGCAATCTCCATTGTATGAAGGAAGCGATTCTCTTCATGTTAAACGGAAAAGTTGCATCATCAATGAGCTAAGCATGCTCAAACGCTGGCATTTTTAGGACTTCAGAGAACATGAAAACTAAACTCAATGTTGAATACTCCTGATTAAAAAAAATGTCAAGTATAATTTCAGCTCGACATGCAGTTCATTTAATTTGATTCTTGATGACAATAACCAGAGCGGCACGGTTTCTCAGTAGTTAACACTGTCACCTCACAGCAAGAAAGTTGCTGGTTTGAGTCCCGGCTGGGTCAATTGGCATTTCTATGTGGAGTTTGCATGTTCTCCTTGTGTTGGCATGGGTTTCCTCTGGGAGCTCTGGTTTACAATCCAATGACATGCGGTATAGATGAACGTAAGCTAAATTGGCCGTAGTGAATATGTGAGAATGCAAGAGTGTATGGGCGTTTCCCAGTACTGGGTTGCGCCTGGAAGGGCAACCTCTGCGCAATAGATAAGCTGGAATGTTTGCCGGTTTATTCCATGTGACGACCTCTGAAATAGAGACTAAGCTGAAGGAAAATGAATGAATGAATGATCAATGTCCAGTAACAGCCAAAAAGCAGGACGTTTTTTTTTTTTTTTTTTTAATAGGTGTTTTCATCGCTTTCACAGACATGTGCCCTACAAATTACACAAAATTTTATACATGTTAAACCCTCATCTTTAAATTTAAATGCAAGTCTTGACATTCTCTCAAAAACAATTAACAGTGTAAGCCAAAAGAACACGCAGAGGTTGCTGAGGCTAAATGCTAAACAAAACTGTGAAGACAGTCGGGTCAAGAAGAGAACCAGAAAGAAGAGAGAGAGAGCCTGACAACAGCATATCATTTCTGTTGTCAGATCCAGGTGAGCTGTCTGCGTGTGATCAGCCCTAAACATAATTCCAGCATGCAGGAGGAGAAATGATCTGCGCGGAGACAGAGGTGTAGAAGACAGCATCTCTCTCTCTTCCCCCTTTACCTCCAGCCCACCCCCCCAAACAGACCCCTAATTGAAAGACGAGAGTAGCCCAGACCTTGACAGGCGGGAGGTCAGTCTAATTGCTGCTGGCCATATTTAACATTAAGATAATCAGCCCATTAATTACCCTTTGGATCATTAAATCAGTCGCTTGCAAAATGAAATTTCGAGCTCTATTACTCACTTGAGAGACCACGAGGGAGGGTTTTCATTTATCAGCCACCAATCCTGGATACAGAGCGCACACACACCCGATGCTTAGGACACACGCTCGCTGATCAGCATTTAACCACAAGACGATGCTTCAAACGCGGTGCCAACGGTGAGACGCGCCAATCGAGAAGAGCACGCACTTCACACACATCAAACGCAAATCGCATCAGAAATAATATATTACGAGATGTTAAGACAGCACTGATTAGATTATGCTCTCAGACAGTCGCCACATTCAAATGCGCTTCTTTCAAATCAGATTGAAGCCATTTGGAGAGTTACAGGCCAAATCAATTCTAGAGCCCGGTGAAGGATGAGAAGACAGCAGATTACACGCAACAGAGCGCTGACAATATCACATGCGCACTATTATGGGGAGGCCTAAGTAGTTTTTAAAATGTCAGTTGATTTCAACAATTCTCAGCTATTTTAAAATGTATTTATGGGCTTTTCATTGGGTTGTTATCTAGTTTCCTAACCAGGTCTTATGAACCCCTAGGGCTCCATTTTAACGATCTAGGCGCAAAAGCATTAAGAGCATGTCCAAGTCCACTTATACTGTTTTAAGGATGAAAAAAATACGCTCTGCACCCCCACGCATGGTCTAACATGGTTATGCTTATTCTCTTAATGAGTTATGGGTGTGTTTTGAGCATAACATGCATTAAACCAATCAGAGTCTCATCTCCTAATCCTGTCAAAAGTCAGTTGCGTAGTGCCATGGCGCGTTTGCAATATACACGATTATGTAAGTGGAAAAACTGAACACTTCACTAGCGAGAAAACAGTTAAACAGAGCATCTGCAGTGCGAGAATAAAGAACAAGCCTTCTCCATTCGGCCTCTTTACATTCTCTACTTTTACTCTTTACTTTAGAGGATGAGGAAAAAGTGTTGTACGTAGTCCACAGAAGACATCCATTAGCCTACATATTTAATTTTGTTTGTTAAGAGCAAAGATTTGTTTCAAAACTATTCCTAAATTCAGTTCTAATTTCAAGCAAACAAAATTTAACAATAATAATGAATTGTGATAAAAAAAAAAACACGTCCTATTCTTATGCCCGATATGGTGATGCAGACGTCTCCAAAACCAGACAGGGGGACAGATCTAAACTTGTTTTTATTAAAACTAATATAAATATAATAAATACTACTAATACTTCTAATACAAATAAAAACTGTCATAAATAAACTGAAAAAAGCCCCCCAAGATGAGGCATGGAGGCAGTGGTTTTTATTTTTAAGTAGAAATTAAGAACTTTTTGTACATTTTAATCCTTTAAATTTTTATTATGTAAAAATATTTGTGTTTTGCTGTACATCCTGTGTGTATTAAGCAATGTGTAAGCATTTGTATCAACTAACATGCTCTTTGCTGGACTTTAGACCAGCTTTTAGTTGGTCAATGGTGAGGTCTATTTCAGTTCCTCAAAATAGCAATGCGCCAACAATGCGCACCTCTATAGACCAGCATACCCATGAGTCAACAAAGCGGCGCAAATGGATTTGCTATTTAAAAAACGTGTTGCAAAACGTGAAAATTACAGGTCTAAAAAAAACAACAAATCACGCCATACATGTCTTGTATCTTATAGGTCCCTAGTTTCATACTGTAAGTGAAGTGAAGTGAGTTTTAAAGATTGACGGGAATAAAATTCACAATCCAATTTAAAAGTCATATTATAAATAAATAAATAAATCGAATATACATAAATTTGTCTTTGAAAAAAAATGTTACAGTGCAACGTAAAATAAATATTTTTATATCCTAAAACATTTCAAAATCATTTAAATTTATTACTGCAATGAACAACCTGTAGCTGACTTTAGTCTTAAGTGTCGCGTGATTCTTTGCTAAGAATAAATGCCAATTTGATGCCCAAGAAACATTTTTTGTTAGTACACTGCTTAACGTTTTTACAAAGAACATTTTTACAGCATTTATTTGAAATCTTTTGTAACATTTACCACTTTTATAAAATTATTTACTCTTTTTAAGAGTACATTTTTTTTACTTCGTTTTAATTTAATAATAGAAAAAAGTTCCCTACATTTAATTAAAAACTAGTTTAATTATCTAAATTCACACATTATTCAATAAACTTAATGATCTTTATATTTAAAATTATATTATATTTGAACATCTTGGGGTGGCACGGTGGTTCAGTGGTTACCACTGTCGCCTCACAGCAAGAAAGTTGCTGGTTTGAGTCCCAGCTAGGTCACTTGGCATTTCTGTTTGGAGTTTGCATGTTCTCCCTGTGTTCACGTGGGGCTCCGGTTTCCCCCACAGTCCAAAGATATGCGCTATAGGTGGATTGAATAAACTAAATTGGCTGTAATAGATGAGTGTGTGAATGAGTGTGGGGCTGGCGCTGCGTAAAACATATGCCAGAATAGTTGGCGGTTCATTCTGCTGTGCCGACCCCTAATAAATAAGAAACTAAGCTAAAGGAAAATGAATGAATGAATAACTAAAATAAATTGTTTTAGGTTAATATTATATAGGGCCTGATTTTAAGTAAATAAATTAGATTATAGATTTAAGAAAAAAAGGGATCAATGGAATTGATAAATGACAAGCAAACCTATGGCCGTATATATTCTTAATATTCTCCATACACAATATAATCCATGTTTTACCTTTAAATGCATCACGCTTATCCTTCAAATGTATTTCACATCAACGATCCACGAGCTCCGGTAAAAACATGAGAAAAATCACACTGATATGCACTCTGTCTGTTTGAGCAGAAGTATTGAGGGAGAGCAGAGAGAGATGACTGCAGGACTGTGTCCAGTGACTGAGGTTAATTGAGATAATATTGACCCTCTCTGTAATCTCCTCTTCCCACTCAGGGGGCCACATGCCTTCACATACATAAATAAACAGCTACATGAGGAACTATAATCGCATTAGCACATTGACAACAGGCGGCAGAAAATGGCCGATCCATATCGAAAGATTTTCAGAGAGGAGGGGAGTAATTAAAAGGTGCTTCAGGTGACTAATGAGGCCGGCATGTAATGGGAAGTCGATATTTTGGCGGCCAGCAGTCAGCACTAATTTGTTATGATGGCTGGTGGGACTGAAGCCTCTCTCTGCCGATAATTACTCTGCTAAAGATGGAGGAGCATGGAAAAGGAAAAATCTGATTTTAGGGTTTTCCACACAACTCCACACACATATGTTGTAGGGTGGGTTTGCTTCAAAGTTAAAAGCAGCTTATTTGCATTGGGTGCAAAATTAATGATAGATGTGTGAATGCCACTATTCAATACGCCAACATTTGGGCCAATAGCTGATGCTGAAAGCAATATCTGTTTTGGAGAAGATAATTTACAGGTGACAAGTTTGTTATTATTTTTTTTTTTTGCTGATTCCTAAACAAAACTGACTTTAAGGTGCCATACAATAAAAATCTGAATATAATTGTGTACCTGCTGGCATCTGGAGCAGGTTTTAGGCGTCCTTGAGCATTGGCCTCCCACACGCTATTAGCCAGCTCATTGCCAATAGCAGACATGACCTTGATGAGCTCAAGAGGCCACTCGTCCAGGTCCAGAGAGCGGACACGGGACAGGTGAGTACCCAGGTTGCGGTGAATGCCGGAACATTCGATACAGATCAAAGCCCCCAGGTTTAGACTGGCCCAGTCAGGATCTACAAAAGAACAAGATAAACAGAAGCAAGACAAAAAGAAGATTATGTCATATTCTTGCACGCTGACAAAACCATAAATAAATAAAAATAATATAAATAAAAATATAAATATAAATAAATAATAATACATTATAATTAGGGTTTTTGCAGATTTCCTCAATTCAAATTTAAGATTTTTTAAGACCTTTTTAAGACCATTTTAAATGAAATTTTAGACTTAACACTAATAATTAGTCCAAATGGAATTTGTATCATTTGCTAGCCACAAAGAAAGTAATAATTTATAATTTTTTAGCAACATACTTTAACATGTCAAAACAAGAAAACTCTAGTTGTATAATATATATATATATATATATATTTATATATTTATATATTTATAAATATTATTTCTACTCCCCATTAATCTGTAAATAGTTTTTGTATGAACGGAAGGTTATTTAAAGGGATATATTGCCCTGTTATTATCATCCTGAGGAAATTGTGTAATTGTTTTCAGTCTTCTTTTCCTCATTTTATTAAGATGGGTTTGTTGGTGATTGGATAGATGTCAGCCCGATTATGTAGCTGTACATGGACAGAGGAAAAGTAATTAATGTTACACAACATTTCAGTGCAATAAGCCTAAAATTTTGTTTTTGAAATTTAAGACATTTAAAACATTTCAAGAACCCTCGAACATCCTGTATAAAGGAATTTATTATTGTGTTGACAAATATGTATTTCCAGAAGTGATTATGCAATTTTCATTGTGTCTCATGCCCCTTTAGAAGTCATTATAGTATGCACATTTGATGTATAGTTGCATTCGTGTGCTTTACGAAGGGTGAAAAACACCGTAGATTAGTTTGGTGCTGTGTTTGAGTCCACTAGATCCTTTCAGAGGTAGACCCAGATCTGCAATTTCATCAACTCCTCTAGAAACTATATCTGGATGATAGAAGCTTTTAGCTATGTTTCTGACTGAGCCAAGCCCACTTTGATGAGCTGTTGTCCGGTGACAGCAAGAAGATTACCCCTTGGGACACCAACAACAGGCACTACTTCATAATTACGTCCCTACAAGAGCATCTGCGTTTAATGCAGGTTTTATGCACTGTGTCATATCACTCAGCTATTACTTTGACTGTTCTGGGGTGAAAGGAAGGCAACAAACTTCAAGCAGGTTGATCACTCCAGCCTGTGTTTTTAGATACATTAACCCACAAAATACAACTCTTTTTGTAGGGTGTTATCATCAGTTGTTATTATCATAATATATTAAAAACAATTTTAACATTTCTCTGTAGAAACTTATGCATTTTAAAAAATATCATAAAATGTAAATATGCTTCAAAGTTAAAAACAATAAGAAATATTTACTAAGCTTCTCAGCAGAATATTAGAATTATTTCTCAAGGACCACATAACATTCTAATGGCAGCTAAAAATGTATTTTGCTATCAAAGGAATAAACTATAGACTAAAATAACTAGACACCTTTTAAATTGTAATTTACCTCCCATTTTTGAACTGTTTGCACTGTATTTCTTGAATAACACAAAGGGAGCCTAAAATATTTTAAATGTGTAAAATAATCAGTACATAGTATGAAATATAAACATCTCAGATTATTACAAATGTGTGCTGCTTAAAACTCACTCTGGGCTTCACAGTCCACACAGCGGGTGTTTCCTCTCATGTTCCTGACAGACTGCAGTGCAATGGCTTCTGATTGGCTGCTCAGACGAGACTGTGGGCACAATCATGTATGTTAAAGCTTATTTAAAATAAAATGACCCTTATAAGCAGATCATTAAGCATCATCTGACAATTCTGACTACGCAGCAACATTGCAGTTGCATTGTTTGCTAAAATAAGAGAAAAAAATAACAGGGGCATACTATAGAAGGTAGGTCTAGTGAAATGTAATTTGCCCTGGCCTGAGGCATAAACACAGAGTGGGTTGAGAGTTATGGCTATGAAACAGGCATGTAGAATTAGTTAGGGTAATATAGGAATGAAAGTAATTACAATTTTTAAATATGTGCATGAATGCATTGAACACATACTGTACATGAATATAACAAGGTGGAGAGACATTTTAATTACCTTTGAACTTGATATAACATCAGCTCTTTGATATGAAAGGACATCAGTAATAACTATAAACATTTAAATAAGACGTTTTCCAGCTGGTTTCAAAAAGTATAGGCCATCCATAGAAAAATGTAGTGTTATAAAAAGTTAAATTTTTAAATTAATTCTTATATTTGCATGACGGCAGAATAATCAGTGTTCTGTATATATCAACAGTCAGTGAAGTATATTTAATAAAAAAATAAAAAAAAACTTTTTAACTTAGACACATAAATGCACACATTTCACAATGACATTTCAACAAAAACAAACCACAATGATATTATATATTTTTGCACTTCCAAATCCAAATTTTTTCCAGTAATGTCTGAATTAGGGTTGCACAATATAGGAAAAATCTAGCATTGCAATATTTTGTTATTCAGCGATATATATAGCGATATGAATACAATTGATGACTTGAATATCTCTATATGGAAATAATTTATTATTTTAGACTGAATAAATTATAATAAACAATCTATAAGCTAGATCAATACAATAAAGAAAAATATGCAAATTCACGATTTCAAAGTTTTGCAGATTTATTTATTTTTTTTGTGCAGTTCTGTGTCCTGATTGGCTGTAGACCATTGTCAATCAATCTCTTCTGTGTCTCATGTACAGTACAGAATGCGTTCAGCTGTGGATTAGTGACTGCAGGAAAAAGAACATGCTGGATGTCAACATTACCCACCCAAAAGTTAAAAAGCTTTATGAACCTTTAGCTGACAGCGATGAATGTTTGCGCCTGACAACAGGTTTGAATCTTTGTTTTCATTTTATAATACTGGACTTATTTTTCTACAAAAGTTTGAACTTTGAAAGTGTTTAATCGAGAAAAAAGTGTGAATATGTTAATGCCTGTCTGAGAAAAGTGCATAAAGTGTACAGTGAGTGGTTTTACAGCCTTAAAACATCTATAATAATTGTAAAAAATAAAGCTAACTACTTCACGGATTTCACCTATCTCAGGTTATTTTTAGAACATAACTTTCATGATAAATGAGTGACCCTAGTCTGAATTCAGAGAAATCTGTAATTTTATTTAGTGCCAGGCCATTTAAATGAATTACCTGTCACTGATGCAATATCCCCATTACTATTTTGTTAATAAAACATGTGCATCAGGTAAAGTAGTTGTAACATTACCAGTAATTTGATGTAATGCTGCTCTGTGTGAACGCAGAAGGAACTAAAGGATTCGGATTTCTACCTTCCAATCCATCTTAGCATGGATCAATGTTTATCCTTTTCTCATCATCCTGTTTCTCATTATTTTTATTAAAGAAGATTATTGAATAATGAATGAAAGTTAACACATTCCTTAATATAAGAATATTCAGTGAATCTGCATGTCTCTTTGTAACTTTTCTGGAGCCACCAAACTAGGTCAGAGGTCAGAGAGACCTTGGGACTGAAAGGCTGAGGACTGGAAACAACTGTTTCTATTGTTATTTCTAGGAGTTAATACTGTCTTAAATGTCTACAGTGATTTTGCTATTTTTTTACGCTTAATTTTTTAAAGTGATTTTACGTTTTATTCAAGATAGACTTTGTGTAGTAAGGATATAACTGCCTGAATGTAGATTATACCGGTTTTTAACCAGTTTTGATAAGGACGGCTGAGAATACACTCAGCCTTGGGAAAGAAACAGATTGTACTTTAAGTTTGTGTGTTCTTTTTGATTGTGGATTCGTTTCACAGGTCTGAAGTCAGCTCTAAACAGTCTAGTGGATGTCTGATGTTTATATGCTTAAGATATTGTTCGGAATTGTACGCATGCACCCATGTGGAAATTTTCTAAGTCTATCTGTGTTTGAACCAATCAAGTTAGAACACCTATATGTATGACGCAGTTAATGACGTTGTGTGAGGGTATAATTGTTTTTGATTTGTGATTGTAAGCAGAGTGACCTAGGAACTCATGGCGAGTATTGAAGCTGGCTTCTGCTGACGAAACTGCAAACTATCTTCAGTAAACTTCATTTATTTATTTGAATCTCTAACTGCGGCTCTTCTTCATCTGACAGACTGGTCATTCTTTGGGTTAAAACTGTAAATTACCCCTACAAAACATTGCTGGAAAGAGCGTGTTCATGCTTAGAAAGCACTGACATGACACGTCTACTCCAGCCAATCAAAACACTCAGACACATTCACATCCATGCTGTTTATTAAAATAACCACCTTTGAATATTTTTCCAGACACATTTAGCTGCTGGATCTTAGTCAGATAATGTTTCTATCTTCCTTCTGAATTCAAACTGTGCAATAAAATATTGATAAAATACTTATGATAAACCGCTGTTTGTTTACCTTCAGGCTCTGCATCAGTTGCTTGACGCATGTGCATGTGAAGTGAAGGAGTGTTCCGGTGAGCGCCAGCAAATACATACTATGTACATCTCGACATATGTTTTTATCGAAGTTGTTCATAATACTTATCCACCCACAGAATTTGTAATGAGGTCAAATGTGTATACATTTAGCCGCGGTCTCTGGAACAAAGCAGCTGCTTGAATGCTAAAACCCGACCACTTCTATGTTTACAAATACAGTACAGCTGAAATCATTTCTGGTTAATGACTTCAGAATTTACAAGTATTTCGGAATTGATTAATTTCCAGAACGTCTTTGTCTGTGTGAACAGCACTTTTTTTTTAATTTACCAGTAACGTCTTTCCACAAATTTACTGGATATTTACCGGTATCACTGTGTGAAAGGGGCTAATGACTATATGATTCCCTGCTCTTTAAATGCGTCATAAAACTGCGTTTTGTTATGATTTCAAAATAAGCAACCACTAGTGGTGAACCCTAAACACTGAATTTATGGTCCACTGGAGTCCACTGCAAGAACAACATCATACTTGTGGCACCCTTGAAAACTTTGTGTCTAAATCACAGTCATATATAGCAAAAAAAGTGATGTACATTGTTTCAGTGCTTCAAATAGATTGATCTTTACCTTCTGTTTGCTGCTTTCACAGGACTGCAGACTTGCCAGAATCTGGCTTTCAATGGCCTGAACCCACGCGTCCCGCTCCTCATAGGATGTTGCCTCAAAATTCCAAGTCTGTCCCGTTAGAGAAACAATAACGAACTCAAAGTTGTCCTCTTGTTCTGTAGCAGAAGGAGGAAAAAAAAATCAACAAAAGTATTATTAATTTACAGTTCATTTACAAAAACTAAAATAATATTTTTCCACCAATTTTTACCATTTTAATTCGTTCTAAGTAACTCATAAACATTTGGTGACACTTTATTTTTATGGTCCATTTGAGTATTAGTAGATTGTCTGCTTAATATCTGTTGACACTGCTCCAACAGACCCGACTATAAAAACTTACAATAACCCTAACCCCAACCTAACAGTCTACTTATAATCTAATGAGAGTTAGTTGGCAAGTAAATGCAATGTAACTTAAATTCAACATTTGGACCATCAAAATAAAGTCTGACCGAACATTTTATTAAATCCATGTTTCCAATTTTCTCAGGTCATCTAATAAAAATTACATGAATAAATAATCACTTTGGTTTGGGGATAAAAGTGACAGAGAAGGTTTCTCACCCCCCTGCAGAGCACCTGTTAGTTACGGGACACAATCAAATACCCCCCGACCTGCAGGGCTTGCCCCATGACCCTGGTCAGGATATGCTACTAATTACAGAGCAGACCCGAGTCCCGATCTGATCAACCATACTGCTGGTCTTGTCCACAATGCTCCCTAGGCAAAGCGACATATGGATCTGCTACCCAGGGCCTTGGTTAGGTTAATGGGCCAATCATGAGACAATTAGGAAAATGTGTGTGTGAGTGTCCGCGAGAGATCCCCATTTTCAGGAGTTTATCTCAGGAGTTTAAGGACAGAGGAGGTTATTTAGTGGTTCTGAGGGTCAACATTTGGAAAGTGTTAGGAACAAAAGGCCATTGACTGCGTGATCAGAGGGGACAGCAATGGAAGGAGCACGCAGATGGCTGGAACAGAGAACCTGCATTGATGAGATGGTGTTGTGTCACAATCAAAGGGATCCCTCCCTGAAACACGATCTGAGGCAGTGAAGAGATCACACACTTTACACATTCTGTTTATAATTTACTCTGGAGGGGAGCAATTACATAATGAAGAAGTAATCAAGGAAGTAATGTCCTCCACACACATACACGCACACACACACTTGAAAAAGAGGCATCCCTAAGGCCAAACCTCCACATGAAGTGGAAAGACCCATGATCCCCAGAGCATCTGCTGGTCAATGAGTAACAGGAACAGGAAACAACCTGGAAATTTAGCCAATGTAATATTCAACCCACAATATAATCTAGAGGTCGACCTATCCGCTTGTTAAGTCATGACGTATGGAATACTGTTTCCGGGTCTAAGCCGCTACTCATTTGAATTAGGAAAATACAGCACTTGTTTATGGCCAGACACCAATAGTTTAACCATTTATAAAAATGAATCACTTTCTGGCTGTCTTATATTAGGCATGGGTTGATAACCGTTTTCAAGGTATACCACGGTTTGGAAAAGTCAAGGTTTTAAAACCGCCAAAATTTTCAGCTATACCGTTCCTAAGTGTGTGTAAGATCCAAAGATGTTGTTTTAAATTGTAAAGAAATCTGTGTTTCTGAAACTAAAGAAGACAGCAGAAGTCAATGATTCATCTGAATTATTTAGCCTGACATGTTTACTGCTCCAAAATATTTTAAATGTTTCTCAAAATAAAATATTCTGTGTCTGTTTTTGTACCCAGACATTTAAAAAGAATATATTTTAGAACATTAATCACAATACAGTGATGCAGTAAACCCGTGATATTTTAATCCAAGGTTATCACACCGTCAGAATCTTATACCGGACCATGTCTACTGGATATATATTGCGATCATGATTTTCGAAAGTATTTAATTGCTTTGTAAACGTTTATTATTACCATTTGTTCCCATACAGTTTGATAGAGAGGTCACACTTAACAAGCGGATAGAGGATTTTGCCAATACTGGTGTTCCCATCTTTTGTTGAGGCGTTCAGCTTTTTCCCAGTTGTATTCACATTGCTTTGTTGTTGCTTTTGTTGTGACACAGACTTGTGAGTACTATATCACATCGGTTTAACTGCTTAAGGTAACACTGATGTTATACTGACAATACTGACAGCAAATGCACTACTGTTTTTCTTTACTAAGTGGCCATTCACTTATTGCAACTTTTGCTTTCCAGATTGAAGCAAAAAAACAAATCAGCTTCACCCTTTGCATGTATTATACACATTAAAATAATAACAGTGAACAAATTTCATCAGACAAACGCAGAGCACCCAAACACTGCTGCACTTTTTAAAATTTCAAGAGTTCACACCTAAATATGCTTGATGCTAATAGCAGGTTTGGCATGCTGTCTAGGGAGAGAACCCTGAGCTCAAAGATAATTGAGCCCAAGGCTCTCGCCAGGTCAATAAGCATATAAGAGTGTCTGGGATCAGATAGGTCTCGAGATCTCCCCCTGGTAAAGAGAGGAAAAGGAGGAGATGGGGTGGAAGGGGGGATTCTTCCAAAACGAAGATAAGGTAGAAATGCAAATTCAGTCTATTTATTGTAAGCTTGCATCAACATGATTGGATTATTGCTAATTATGTATGAGAGGCCAGCCTAAAATTGTGTCAGAGCTACAGCAAGATTCTGTCAGTGGTGCTTAGCAATGGCAGACACCACGGGAGCTTGTGTTTTCCACATGGATTTAGTCGTGATATGTGTCTAGCCCCAAATGCAGCAACTAGTCAACAAATGAATTATGACTAAATGTACTGTACTATACAGCATGCATGCTGTTTAGTGGTTAGTGTCCTGCTCTGTTGCTAAAGTTTGTAGCCTCACACAGATTTCACCTCAGACTTCAGCAGGCAGACCTCAGTTGTATTCACTTTATAACTGAGCGTCAGATAACCTAGAAAAAATATCGGTATTGATTTCAGGTCTTAAGTTGTTTGTTTCCTCCATAATTCTACAAAACCAAGTTATTCTTTGCCAATCTCTAATATGATCCCTCAGTAAAGGCTGGTATCCCTGGCAGACTAATCTTAGCCTCAGAAGGAATACTTATGAACTCATGACAAAAAGATAAAAAATAAATAAATCAAAATCTGCCGTTTCAATGAGTTATGATAAAGTTTCAGTCAGGCTCTTGTCAGGGTACTGTACGAGTAAGTTAGTAATCATTTTTAACAGTTAATATTTACTAATACATTACACTAACACAATGTACTGTCCTCCAAATGGTCACAGAGTATCATAGTAGTTATTTTGTAAGTATCGAAAGTGTTGGTAGGCATTGATAGTCAGTGACATCAAAGATAAGACCTCTCATGGCGTTTCAAACCTGTGTTTCTTCTGTAGAAGTAACTGGTAAAACGTTTTTTTTTTTTTTTTTCAGGGCCTGGCACAATGATGACCGGCTGTCGGTCAATGTCTGAGCATTGTTCTTAACCGCTGGTGCAAGCGAGACCCCTGTTATACCTTTTTTTGGCTGACTGAACATGTTAAATTGGCAGCAGAGCCCATTGATGAGGGGAATCACTCTGATTGGCTGCTCAGCTTAACAAGCGCATGAGTGGAAAATCTAAAGTCATGAAAGCTAGCAAGCATGGAAGTCAGCAGGGCAATTTATTTATGCTTTGGATATTCACAGACTTGGGTATTCCAGATTTGAAAACAATTACAGGCTAGCGCCACCTTCTGGTATGGAGACATGTCATCTCACAGTGGTGCAGAATGCATGTGTTGGCTGTTGGATGTAGGCTGAAAAGTGTTACCCACCACAGATTTAGGAGCCACTAGTTATTTGATGTTGACACAGCGTGTATGGTTACTCGGTATGTAGTACTTTAATGTGGAGCAGACTTCATGTTGATAGCCTTGACTCCATGAATCCGTCATTCTGCCAAATGCAAGTTTAAAACACATTTATAAATTGTATTTACAGCCTTTAAACCTTTTGGTCTATTCAATTTCTCTTCTAGCCACACTGTTCAGAGACAGCTCTTCAAATCATCTCCCTGTGAGGCCATTACACAAGTTTAATCAGCGGGAAATCTGTCCAGCCACACCATTTCCTCTCCTTCAGTCAATCACAGGCCTAATTGGACTCCTATCATACAAGTCATATTAAAGGTCCCGCAGGGCCACAGGCTGCCCTCGACGCCGTAACAGAGACTTGTTTTCAAATCCCAAAATTCCTCTTACAAAAAGTCATGCCTGGTAGCCAGGATGCTCAAACCTCTTCATACAGCCCCAGAAACTGTATGAGAGATCATTTCTATTCCGAGAAGAACAAGCAGATATTTGAGAATTTGCTCATTTACAGCAAAAGTCAACTCAGAGCGTCAACAAAAAGTGGCTGGGGATCCTGGGCTTATTATTTATTCTCTTTTTTTGTTAACGTTTTCAAGGTTTTGGGGGTGGTGAGATCACTGGAGCATCCTAGCCTAGATTGGACCCACCCTTCAAAGGCACAGGGCCCTCTGGGGTCAGCAGCAATGTTCTCACCCTAATTAAATTGCAGCGCTGTTGGGGAGAGGGCGGTATTTGACAATTATGAAAAGCAACAATGCAGAAAGACGATATTCGGAGGCAAATATGAAGATTGGCTCCGCCTCCTCCCCTCAGCACACAATTAATTAGAAAACAATTGTGTAATACAAAAACTGCAATGACAGGGCATCAGGCAGGCACCCCTCCCCTCTATTTCGCCCTTAAACTTCAAAACGGGGCAGCCATCATTCATCTGGTGCCTGGTACTGATCTCCATACTCCACAAGCTGCTAATAGGGCAATAATTACGTTCGGCGCAATTTAAACGGAAAGTATCCAATAATTTCCTGCTTTGCTATTTATGCGGTGTGATGTTCAGGCAAATTGAAGCAGCACAGAAATGTGTGAACTCTGACACAGGCAACCTTTACCGACAAACGGAACACAATCAACTCCAGCAAGGATTCGGCATGCACAGAAATGAAGCGGGTCAGGGTGGAGGGGGGTTGGTTTACCTCCACGCGGCCCAGACGGCAGCGCTTGGGGGTACAGTGGAAGAGCTGAATGCTTGGAAACACAAATTAACCGAACGAAATGTCAAAGCACACAGTATTGCTTTGTGACACAGGTCATTAATTCCTATATTATCCTCTCCCATTTCAAGCATCTAGCATTAATAACCTGGCAAATATTACAGGAGTTATTCACATCCAGGGAAAAACAATAATAATAATAATAAGGCAGAGGAGGGGCGGAGTTGTGGGAAAGGAGGCGTAGGTAGGGGAGGGGCTAAAGCGTACATGTGACCTCCCATAATAAGTTCAACATCATCATATGATATCCTAAATTTTAGACTAATTAACACGTACAAACACGATTATGGTAGCAAAGCATCATTTTACAGCCGTTACACTAGCTATGTTTCCATCCAAAGAGGCAAATTAAATTTATGCGCAAATCTGGAATTTCGAATAAAAGATGTGCGAATAAAGCAGTGTTTCCATCCAATGAGTTAAAGAGAACAAAATCAGTTTCTGATAAACTGACTTCTAAGAAGCTGCATCAATCTTTTCTTTGTTTAATAAATTACTTGCACCTCAGAAGACAATGCTGACACGTGATAAACGTGGTAGTGTTTGAAGGTGTGAGATGCAGAGCTCAGACGCTCTTGACTCTGGAGGTTATTAATAATACAGACCTCCTAGTTTTTCATGATTCCACAATCACTGAATTCAACCCAAAATAAACAAAAAGTCGCAAATTAATAACCTGAAAAATCTAAAAAAAATAGAAAAACTAGGGGGTCTGAGTAATAAAATAACACTAATACTGAAATGGTTAAGGAATTTTAGAATGACCAAAACAACATTTCAGATGTTTGACAATGTGTTCAGCCCGCTGGTTTGTCCATTCACACACATTTTTATCATCACATGATCTCTTATCACAAAATCACTTTTTTAATGCACATACTGGAATTTGCTCGGTAAAAGTAGTTTATGTAGCGCATCTTTTCTTATTTGATAAAAGTTACTCAGTTATGCGCATATGTTTTTATCCGCATTTTCAAGATTAATGCACATCACAGCCTTTCCATCAACTTTTATTTTAATGCTCATATCCAAAATGCGCATAAAAATAGGAGGATGGAAACATAGAAACTGACAAATGGCCTAATACCCATAAGTGCTGTCCGGGGAAAGTTGCGGGGCACATCAAGGAGAACTGAAGGATGAAGCATAATCACAGGGTGTCACTGCAAATGTAAAAAAGGGGTAACACTAACACCCCCTTGCTCTGTTTTCTGGAGCTAGTTACCTTCAGCATTGGAGGAACTGTTGTAAATGTTGCGCAGACTACCAACGCGATTTAGTTTCCATGCCCTATGCTTGGCTGCATCCGATGGCAGGCAGAAGAAAAGGCGAAGAGAAAGAAATAAAGATGAAAAAACAAAAAAAAAAACAAAGCAACTGACAGGAGTGGATAAAGTAGAGCACATATTTGTGAAATGAACAGAAAGTAATTCAGCAGTAAAATATAAATGACAAAGAAAGACAGGGTCAAAAAAACAAAAGATGATCTGAAGTCAGCAGTTAAATGTGAAAGCGATTCAACAAATGAAAATTATGCAGAAATTTAATGAAGACAATGGGTAAGAAGCAGGGGTGAAAACACATTGCATTAGGTTAAAAAGGCATAATAATGCACCGCTTGAGTGGAAAAGACAAAATGTTCACATTAGCATGCAAAGAGTCTAAATGAAAAGGCTAAAATAAAATAAAAATAAAAACATGAATTTCATAAAAGATAGGGGCAAAAGAAAATAAAGAGCAGACTAACTGTCTTCATCATTGATAAAGTTAAAATGTTCTACTTAGAACAACTAACAGCAAAACTAAATAAATGAAGAGTAAAAACACATTTTAGAACTTTCAAGATCACAGATTTACATTTTAAGATTAATAGTTAAAACATGGGAGAGGGAAAAACAACAAAATATACTAAAACCATTTCAAAAACAAAAAAATAAAAAGTAAAACATGATAAAAAGTGTTTAATTAAGTTAAATGTCACCTTCGTATTGTATTATAACAGAAAAGTATGTTCAAAATCTGCTAAAAGTGTCTACTATACCAAAATATAACAAAGTTTACATTAATACAACTAATTACACTGTACCAATCCTGGCAAAATACAGTGCAGATGATTTCCTTCCCACTGTGCGAATTGACACAGGTCTAGTTTCTTCTCTTTAAATAACTGCTCATTTCCCAGCTGTGCTGACAACTGACCTGAAGTCACTTCGGCTCAGTGCAGTCTCACTCTTTTCCCCTTAGGCCAAAGAGAACATTTGTTACACAACAGTAATCCTGGAAAAACAATCCCATCCAGTGCTTTCCAAGCGCACAGCAACAAAGAGACAAAAACTACAAAAGCCTGTGCATGGAAGCAAGCTATTTTCCACACAATAGACTCTGTTAAATCTGTATGGCATAGATTTACTCCTATCTTATTGTCCACATGCCACGCTTAATCCCCCACACAAACCATTCTTCGCTTTCTAACAACATCAGTTCCACGAATGTATGCTGTTAATGTCTCTCTCTCCCTCATTTGCAGTCTTACAAGACACTTAAAAATGACTTTTGATGAACCTTCCGTTTAAGACCATCAATGGTCAATTTTTCCAACACCGAAAGCCATGAGACCATCTACACTTTATTCCTGCAAGTAATATCGGAGAGCTGTTCACATGGAAAAAAAATTATTCGTTAACAGATGGAGTTAAAAAAATTGGTAATACTGACGCTTGTTAAATTTTTTCAACGTACAAAATCCAACATTAAACGCAAATACGGTAAGATCTTTTAAGTTGCTTGTCTTCTTAATTTTAGTGAAAATTATTTCCAATACCACCAAACCATATTGTGTTTAAGTCAAGGGCTGGGCGATAAATCGATTTGATCGATGAACTTAAGTGAGGGTTTCACATCGATTTGTTTGAATGAAAATCGTTTTTCACCACTGATCTATATAGAATGAACTATTACAGATCAGTGCTTTTCACCCTAACAAGTGACTCAGAAATTACCAGATGTAATCACGCGCCATGTGCATATAGCCAATTGTTGCTCTCTTTGAAATGACAGAAAACAATATGGATGCACAAACATACCTGCCAAAAAAAAGTCAAAATTCAGGGCTCGCTTAAACTTAACATTGCTGCTTGCCAATATTTTATGTGACCCAGTTGCAAAGATTACTGTAAATATCAACACTGACAAAACTCGCTCAGCTCAGTGCACTAGACTAATCTATCAGATGCAGCGACCCCACACAAATAAAAGCAATAAAATGCAACCCACTAGCCTAATGCGGTTAATTTACACCAATTGATATAACACAAAATAAAAATGAATAAACCTCTAATTGCATGTTGATTAAAAAATCATCTTGAAAAAAGTTCACTTTTTAACATTATAAGTTTACTTTTACAGTAATTTACTTTCACTGTAGTTGTATAAAATGGTGTAATTTATATTATTATTATTATTATTATTATTATTATTATAAGTCTTGTATGCAATTATAGAGTTTGTGAAATTTGATCTTTTGATCTTGTTTTTTGCTAAGCAATTTTTTATCCTACAATTATGATAAGGTTATTAACTTCAAGCATTTTTTTGTGTGTGTGTGGGTGGGTGGGTGGATAGGGGTGGACGTAATAAATAAACGTGATAAAAAAATGTAATCACTGACTGGAAATGTTCAAAAAATTGTTCTGTTCACAGTATATATGAATGGGATAATCATTGTCGTGCGTCAGATTTTAAATGCACGACACAAAGAAAAAGAACCACAGATGCAAAGCAGAGGCAATATTTGATATATGATGGCTTGTTCTGTAGACCAGTGGTCCCCAAACTTTTTATTACCGCGGACCGGTCAACGCTTCTTCTGAAGCACCCTGAAAGGCACTAGCGTGATCGTGCAGCTCCATTCAAATAACCAACTTTGCCAAGAAAACACATGATATTTGAATGCCCCTAAAAGGTCGCCGTCATTTGCGTTCTGCAGTAAGTTATCTTTGACTGGGCCTTTCACAAATGAACTTTATAAAGAAATCTGCTTGTTACTCATTTTGCTAGCTTGTGGGTTACATTTGAGCACTTAAGTGACCGAGATGTAACCTATGGGTCATTGTTAAAAATAAAAAAATCAGTCAAATGATAAATAAAACGAAAATAATTAAGGATTTCTTGTGCGGCCTGATTCAAATCGATCCGGTCCATGGCCCAGGGGTTGGGGACCACTGCTGTAGATAACCCAAATAAAAAATTATATATATAAAATATATATATAAATTATATATATATATAAATATATATATAAAATATATAAAAAAGATATAAAATATATTATAATATATTTTAAAAAATAATATATATATATATACAGCTAAAATCAGAATAATTAGCCCCCTGAATTTTTAGCCACCCTGTTTATTTTTTTTCCCCAATTTCTGTTTCTAATGGAGAGAAGATTTTTTCAACACATTTCTAAACACAATAGTTTTAATAACTCATCTCTAAAAACTGATTTATTTTATCTTTGTCATGATGACAGTAAATAATATTTGACTGGATATTTTTCATTTCAATACAGCTATGAAAAAAGAAAAATAAATAAATCACAGGAGGACTAACCATTTTGAAATGAAACACTTCAGAATACACATTTGTTGATCACAGAGAACAACCTTTAGTTTAACACAGTCAGTGGTCTTTTTTCCATCCCATTAGCAAGCCATAAAACCATCTTCACTTTATTCCTGCAAGTAATATCGCAGAGCCATTCACCTGCAAAAATGCTTTAATTAAACGTCGCGGCCACGTGCCAGACCAATTCCAGCTGAGGACACCTGTGAGGCCCCTCCGTCCCTTTGGAATGTCTTTTTCTTTCTGGGTGTTTCTTAAAACGTATCGCCTTCCAGAGGTCTGGGTCTCTTTATGTGCCCATCAAGGCATTCATGAGCCTCCCCGCTGTCCGCGTGCAGTACAGAACACACACCGTCCGCATGATCTGGTTTCAAAGCCTCTCGCATTCTCCTGCTCGCATCAAACGCAGTAATTACTTAACAAGGGCCACTTAGGGCCCTACAGCTCAGCGGTAATTGATAAACTGTGATCGTCCGTGCAATAAGTTTGCCATTTGAGTGGTGGGCTTTCAGCGGCCCACTGTGGGGGGGATGTAAAGAGTGTAAAAATGCACGGCATGCTGGGATCGATTGATCTTTATGTGGGTGTACAGGGGGATGAAAGACGATTGTGTGTGAGAAGAGAAGAGCAGGTGAGCTGAAATTAGAGATAAAGCCCCGCACAGCCATAACATCAGCTGAGAATCTACTAGCAGATTGAGGGATGTGTGCGCTCAGGGATACATTTTTTTTTAACAATTGCTCTAAAAAGTTACAACCTGCATTTGAGAAGTTTTTTATTTTTATTAAACACTGGTTAACTGAACAAACTGTGTGGTCTTTAAATAAATTCAAATGTAATTGAAATTTTTATAAAGGATAAAACACAATATATCCCATCTAATACTGTAATCATCCGCCCCACATACATGTGATCCTCCGCCCGTCCCTATCGCAGCAGCAACCTGCTCGCAAAAAATACTCACATAGACCCCGTTTACACTAATACGTCTTAGTTTTAAAATGGCATTTTAGAACAAAAACGATTTACGTCCAGCTGGTGTTTCACCTAGCATTTCCTTCCTTCCACACTACTGCTGAAAGCGCACATCACGTGATCACACACACTGTCAAGCGATCTAGCAAATGCGCAGATCTGGGCTCCAGGCAGTCAGCAGGTGCTTTGAGCACAAAACCCCAGAGAGCAGTGCACGTCGAACAGTTTATCAAGAATGTACTGCTGGATCGCGTCTCACTACAGTTATTAAAAGTGATATTTAATTCATCTTGTCTCTATCTAACAACTCTTCGGTCTTTTGAATCTATCAGATGACATGTCACAGTTTCAGTACACTGCTTCTTTCGGTTTCACGCTTGTACTTAGTAATTTTAGCGAACAGCTCAGATAATGTTGGTTGTGCACCTTTTTTTTATCAACCAAGTTTGTGGACGCCGTTATCATGCCACGGATCACTCTGACTATTCTTAGTCCCGCGGAAAAAGTGATTAACAGGTGGTAATTTGTGTGTAACTTATCTTTATTTGTTTATGATTTGGTTATGGGTAAAACAAAGTATATGTGGGTCAGATAGTTGAAACAGTAGGCTACAAATAATTAATTTATTATGAATTAATTAATTATTCATAAATAATTAATCACCAACAATGATGCCATCATCCATCACAATGTTTCACA